TATATAGGGCTCGAGCTATGGTTGCAAATTAGTTGAGCGGATCACGAGTCGCTCGCTAGCGCTCAAGTGGAAGCTCGACTCGAGCTCGAGACAATATTTTGCATTGTCGAGCGGCTCGATATACATGTTCAATTACAAAAATATATTTAAATAATATAACACAAGTGCTTAATGATAATTTTATATTTAAAAAAAAAAATAGCCGAACTCGAGCTATTGTATATTATTATCGAGTCGAGCTTGAGCCTCATACATCGTGCTCGAGCAGCTAAAAAAAAAAATAATAATCCTGCTCGATAAGGTCAATGTTCGACTCTACTCGACTCGTTTGCAGTATTACGCTCAACAATGCAAAATATGGGCCCGAGCTCGATTCGAGTTCGTGTTTGAGCCGCTCGAACTCGACTCGAGTTCGGTCAACCTCGAGCTCGAGTCGAGCTCTAAATCGAGCGCTCGCTAGCGGCTCGCGAGTCGCTCGGTTCATCTGCAGTCTTAGTTACAAGACAAATCAAACTAATTTATCATTTAGCCACAAGATCGAACGTTGGGAAGTCAATTATGCTAGAATAAAACCTTTATCTAATGGTGAGCATGGTGCGATTTCTGTGCAACTGCACCGAACCGCAAACTAGTGTGTGACCCCTACAAAATGGAATATGAAATATGGTATTATTTAATTAAATACTGTATCGTAATAAATAAAAGATTACTAATGATGATTGATAATCATTATTCCAATAATTTATTTTTAAAGATATAGTTCATTGAGTCGTTAATTTCATTTTATTAATTTCTCTGTTATTAGAGTAAAATGAAGTATATACCATAAGAATTGATAGTTAGATATTTAGTTAGTTTATCTATATATATAATTGCTGATAAGTTTTAATAAATTTTATTCAGCCAACAATTTATAATAATTAGTAATCACCCGTGCGATGCACGGGAAAATTATAATCACTACAAGAAAATAGAGTTCCAGTGAAAATTTTTTTTGTCACTATATCTACAATTGTTGTCACTATATCTACTGTGAGTATATCTACAATTGTTGTCACTATATCTACACTTATTGTCACTATATCTACAATTGTTGTAGATATAGTGACAATAGATATAGTGACAACATAGTGACAAAAAAATTCTTCACTAGAACTCTATTTTCTTGTAGTGAATGTATGTGCTTTTTTATAAAGCAATTTTGTATATAAATTGTGTAATAACTAATGATGCAATGATTATAATAATAGACATATAAACATATAATTAAACTGAAAAAATCATAAATTATTAAACTCTTCCATATATACAACATTGTTTGTTTGATTTTTTGGCACATCAGCTTCCCCACAAATTAAGATTTTCAAACCTTTTCGGTTAGTGTCACGGGAGACAACAACATATCACTGACCATGACTGAACACTGATTTCTTTATATATAAGTCAACATGAGATAAGAATTGCCCCTGACTCTTGTTTATAGTCATGACGTAGAAACCATAATGAAAAACTGTCGCCGCTGGAATTTGAAAGGAATTCTAACATCAGAATAACTTATGACCATTATATGAATCAACATCTTGTCACCTGCATGATCTCCTGTGAGTATCTTACACTCAATAAAATGAGTGGATAACTTTGTCACAACCAATCGTGTACCATTACAAATACCCATAGAATGATGCATTTTCTGCAAGATCATGACTGGAGTTCCAATCTTCAAAGACAACTCATGGTTAGGTATTCCGGAACATTTGATATTATTCAAAAACTCGAGAGTATGGAGATCATACAAAAAATTATTATTAGAATTCAATTTGCACGTACTGTCAGAGCTCAAGTACATACGACAATCCAACAAATTCAACGATGTCATGTACTCGTTGATAGACATGACACACCCAACTTCGGCGCTAATATAGCCTATCCTTCATATAACTTAGATTGTCAGGTGACTCCTTAAGCAATGGATATGACTTTCAACGATTTGAGCAATAGGATTATCAAATGGCTCAAGCAAAATGTCCTTGATGTCTATCAGTGTACATCCATCATTCGACCCCTTGATAGTTCCATATCCGATTATGGCTATCCAATCAGCAAACCGTGCAAGCTCGTCACGTTCATCCGAATTAGCAAGTTCCTGAAGACGCATGTTTTTCGTAAACCTAAGCACGATACAACTCCGTTATGTCATAAGCATTAATGACAATGACAACTATGCACCCAATTATACATGTAATTATTAGTCACTCATTCAATATTAAAAGCATATTATATGTTCCAATATATTTGTTGTTTTATAAAATGAACGAGCAGATTAATTTAAAAGTTGATTGAACATATCAAAATAGAATAAAATATATATTACCTTGCTAAAATTAAATTTAGTTATCATAAGTAAAAATTAAATAATATATTCGGTGTGAAGGAAAAATGAGGAAAATCCGAAAATCACGAGCTAATTCCAAGTTACAAACACCATTTCGAATTTGATAAAATATTTCCTTTCCCACCTTAGTGTGATTGCGCCAAATTAGAAAAACTTCTCAAATTTACTCTGACACACCTTTTTTTACAGCCAAACAAATAAATACATTTTGGGTGGATAAAAATTAACTATCCATCTACCCACCTGCCCGCAATCCAACGGCCAGCGACTCTTTGGTACCCACGAAACAAAAAAAGTTTTAACAAAAATCACGGACCCCACTACACTATTATCCCGCAATTGATTCACGAGATAAAATCCGCTTACGTGGCATCCTCCAACTCGTATTTATATATATCCACCACGCGGTTAACTCACACAACACAAGCAACACACTGCGAGTGTGAGAGAGAGAGGGTAGTTTGAGAGAGAGAAAGCTAGGGTTTCTGAAGCGATGGCCGACGGCGACGTGAAAAAGGGGACGGTGAAGTGGTTCAACGATCAGAAGGGTTTCGGCTTCATAACCCCCGACGACGGCAGCGAGGATCTGTTCGTCCACCAGTCGGCCATCAAGACCGACGGCTTCCGCAGCCTCGGTGACGGCGAGGCGGTCGAGTACGTGCTCGACCAAGGCAGCGATGGCCGTCCCAAGGCCGCGAACGTGACTGGCCCAGGCGGATCGTCCGTCCAGGGGAGCACCCGCGGCGGTGGAGGCGGAAGGAGCGGCGGTGGAGGCTACGATGGAGGCAGCAGGGGCGGAGGGGGAGGCTATGACGGTGGCAGCAGGGGCGGCAGCCGAGGCTATGGCGGAGGTGGAGGAGGCTACGGTGGAGGCGGAGGTTACGGTGGTGGAGGCGGCGGGGGATATGGCGGCGGTGGAGGCGGAGGTGGCGCCTGCTACAAGTGCGGTGAGAGTGGGCACATGGCGAGGGATTGCTCTCAGGGAGGTGGCGGGGGCGGTGGCGGACGCTACGGCGGAGGTGGAGGAGGCGGTGGCGGTTGCTACAAGTGTGGGGAGGACGGGCATTTTGCTCGTGAGTGTCCCAACCAAGACCGTTGAGCTGCTGTTTGCATCTATAGCTTATGGTCCTATATTATTCGTCTAGTTTGTGTTTGTTTCAAGTTTCTTTTCTGTTTCTTCAGACTTTCTTATGAATCAAATTATGTTGGTGTTGCAGTTTGATGTTATCTATTCATGGCCATGGCTACCTGTAATCGAAATTATCTTTCGAATTATTATTATGATGTTGGTTTATGTTGGTTAAATTTAAATTCTTTAAATTTAATATATTTTTTTTGGATTATTTGGAAGAAAATTGAATTTGTTTTACTGTCACAATAACATGTATAGTACTATAGTACCAAAAAATTGAATTGTCGTTTTATCTTATTATGTATCCGAACTTTGCAGTGTGGGAAATTGTTGGTACTGTCACTGCTATTTTTTAATGCATCTTTCATTGCATGAATCTGTTGTACTGAGCCCATTTTATGTAACATGTTGACCGTTGAATTTTAAATGTATATAGCTTTGAAAATTGTGTTGACAAAATATCCTTTTTTCCAATGTATTTATTTCAATTTTTGTATTATAACACAGTTTTTAATTATGCAATATTCGTTGAAAAAAAATTATCTTTTTATCTATGATGCCATACTAACGACATTGTAACTGTCTTAGATAATTGATCAAACGGTTGAGATTTTCCATTGAGATTTGTAATCGTCTTAGATAATTAATCTAACGGTTGTAAATTCCAACCGTAAGGGACAATAGAATCTCCCATTAAATTTATACCATTAAATATATGAATCAACAAAACTTAAAAACAAAAAGAACTCAAATAATCTGAACCAGAAAACCATATTAACTGCAGCAAGATCCATTCTTCAAAAAGGTCACTAAAAACATATCAAAAACTCTTCAACTACATGTGAAGCTTTCAAGATTAGTCATAATGCAAAACCAATCGAGTGATTTTGGAAGAAAATAGCTCAAACGAAGTGGGGACTTGGCGGCAAATGATAAGCATTGGCCTTGGGAGGTGGAAAAGGCGCGGTGGCATTGGCCAAGTGTGGCGGCAGTTGGGCCTGGGCCGGGCACTGGTAGCATTTAGTGAAAAGCCCAAACGTGTCGATTTGGTGGATAAAGTTGATCATACTGGCCCAGCCACCGAACCCAAACCCGACAATTAGAACCCACACAACCACAAATATATTGATCACATATGTGCCCACCCATTTGCCAAAGTACTTTGAAGGTTGCTCAATTGCATTCTGCATAAACAAAATAAATAAATAAATAATTATATATAAGAATAAAAAAATTAGGTACACATTTGATTTGAGAGGTCAGTAGTTTTTTAGAGAATCTCATAAAGCAATTCTTTTTCTTGTCATTGGCAGCACTGGGAATCTTTTTTACTGCAACTATTTTAACCATATTCACACTCACGCGAGAACTGTGATCTGTGATGCAACGTACGTAAAAGAGAGAAAGATATGTATATAAGAACTAAATTTAAATAAGTTGGATTTTTTTTATAGTAATTCTCATTGCCAAATTTTTTTTGGTCAAACTATGGATTAATCTGGGCCTGACACTGCCAGGATTCTGGTTTGACCCCACCTGCAACAAACCATCCATTATGTAATATGATGTGATATGATGATGAGTTAAACAAATCGAGTCATTCGTGAATTTGACTCACCGCTAGACATGGCCACGGGACGAATCGGTCCGTGGCCCGAACTGCGAACCGGCCCAGCCCGAACCGGCCCGATCCGGCCTCTTAAGGGCCGGTTCGTTGAATCGGGAACCATAGGGCCGCGGTTCGATCCCGGTCCATACACTCTTTGTTTTTGACCCGGCGGGCCGGGTCGGGCCAGGTCGGGTTGTGCCGGGTCACGTTGCTTTTTTTGGATTTTTAAGGGCCGTACCGGCCCAGAACCGTCCAGACCCGCCGGGCCGATTCTATGAACAGGCCCATATGTTTTTTCGGGTCGTTTACGGGCCGGGCCGGGTCGCGGCATCTCTACTCAGCGCGTTAGTTGTTTAGCTTATTTATATAATGGCCCTCAATACGTAATTGTCGAACTTTTTTTAGTTCACAAGCCCATGTTCAATTAGAAAAGGGGTCGAAGTCTGCTCGACTCCTTTTCACTTATGTTAGTTATGCCAAGTTTTTAGGGCTGAAGAATGAGAAGTCAAATCATATATAACCAAGTTTATTAAGTAAATTTGATCATATATTCTTCTATTTTATAATAATGTTGAGTATATATAATTAAAAATATTAATAATGTTACCTCACGAGCCACGGCCGATCTGAAGGTGAAGATGTGAGCCAAGGCGGGGATAATGTAGACCGTGAAGCTCACTAAAAGCGATCCAACGGTCGAATTTATAGGGCCAAAGAATGGGAAAACTATGGCTAAGAACCATATCGGGACCACCACCGGGAGCCGGGCGGCTGCCCGTTTGCACAAGCTTTTACACTCGTGCATGCCGATGGCCTTCTCCCACACAAAGTACAAAGGCGTACATGCGAATCCAAACGTTATAAACTGCAAACAAAATTATACATTAATTACTATAAGCAATTAAAAACAAAACTCAAATCAAGTTTAGCAACCACTTTATTGTACATTACATATGTTAACATATTTTTTCCAAAGAAACTATACATTAGTCATGTTCTGCAATTTATACTTAGTTTTCTGCAATTCTCCCCTTGGGTATTCATCATCCACACACACACACACACATACATATATATATATATATATACATATATGTGTTCTTCAATCAAGTCAGAGTCAATATTATGCTTATTACATGCTAAATTTAAAAAAAAAAATTGCAGTTTTAGACGGCTAACTTACAATCTTTATCATTTTTGCCCATAAACTTATTCGAATTCAAAATTGGTCCAATATCTCTTAAATTTTACCAAATATGATCCAATAACTCTTAAATTTTAGGAGATATCGAACCAATTTCAAACAAAATAATTGTCATATTTCGGCCGAAATTGGACTGAATTGGTTAAAACAAAAGAGTTATCAACTAATTTGAATCCGAATAAGTTAATGGGGTAAAAATAACTCGGTAGATATAGTGCCCACACCAAATTCAAAACCGTTAGATCAACATACACAGTCAGTAGGGTTCGAATTCTCCCAAAAATCATCTCATTAGTAATAAGCAAAATTAATTAAGTTATTAGCAATGTGATTTAGATTAAGTTATAATTTGATGGTTAAATAAATAATTAATCATGCATGCCTGATGGATGAGCATTAAAATGACGGCCATGTCCCTGAAAGGTGATCTTGGGAGTAGAGCAAAAGCATTAGAATGGTTGAGAAGCAAATCACCAAAAGCCCAATAAACAGCGGCCGCTGATGGAAGGGTTAGTGTCAGCACATAAGCTGTGGCTAACAAGTAAATTGACTTGAATTTTTGTGGCCTCCACATTGCATGCATTATCTCTCTGTAAAATCATTAAAAGAAATTAAAAATGAGGGGTATAATTATAATATAGGAAAATGATACGGTCCCGTTGGAACCATTTCATCAGAGTTTGTAACCGTTAGATCATCATGTAACTGTCGTATATAGTTGATCTAACGGTTACAAATCTGACGGAATGTTTCGGGACCGTAGCATTTTCCTATAATATAATATATGCAGATTGTGTAATTTTTTGGAATAATTTATTCATAACTCTCATAAAATCTTAAAAACTGCAAGGGTATAGTGTTCAATTTGAATTTTTTATTTATTTATTTATTTTTTTTTTTGTACTTCAATCACACTACAAGAAATTACCTTATTCTAAAAGTATCAACTGTAAAATAAAATAGTATTAATAGAAAATTCCAACAGATATTTCAATGATATAGTTAAAATAAATTATGTTATCCTTGATTTTAGTTTGGATATGATGCGATTATTCCAATGATTTTTTTTTTTTTCCCAACTATTTAATGTTGCAGAAATTTTAATTCGAACATGCAATTTTCGTTAGACATTTTTCAAGTCATATTTAAACTTGTGGAATTATAATGTTGAAACTGTCAAAATTCAATTAAAAAAAAAAATCCAATGAGAAAAACTAATGAAGAAGGTAATTTAATTTTTTAAATATATAATTTTTTTTTTTGGTTATTAGCTCAAGTTGGAGGAGGTAATTAATTGCTCATAAATGTCAATTTTTCAGAATTAAATTTCATTGATATATAGCCCTGAACACTAATTAATTAATAGCAGAGCCTGAAAAATGAATTAATGATTATTAATTAATAACTGCAAAAGTTGATTCGATAAAAGCGCTCGGTCTTTTTTCCAGTAACATGCAAAAAGTTAAGTTAAAAAAAAAA